TATTTCCATGTCCTTGTTCCTGTAGATTCTCTATGAGCATTAAACGCTACGGTTCTATGGAATCTCTTACCATGTTTGTTTGAAGCTAAGTCAAGTACTCAGGATGATCATAATACACAAGTTCAGGTCTTATTCAATTTCTTTACCAGCCTCGCTCGGTTGAATCCGGCCACTTTTTCATCGCGTCTTTGACTTATATCTTCGGAACTTTCTCTTGGATCACGCTCTCGAGAATCCGGTATAGTCCGTGGCTGAGAAAGAACATACATCCATATAAGTAACAGAAAACAGTAAAGACGTAAAGAAGATCACATTTAAGGTTAGTTACCCTCTTCTCTGGCCTGGAACCTGACCCTGTTTCGTGTCCCCTGTCGTCAAATCTCCAGTTGAATTCACTCGCTCTACGATCCGAACTTGTAGCCTGAGAATCAAAATAAAAAGAAGATGTTCAGAATCAAACTCAGTTATAAGAATATTATAGTAACCGCGATGAAATTACCCGATGCATAGGCGAACCGGGAACATTGAACAAGGCAGGTGCTGCACCATCTCTGTCCATTGGGTGAGAAAATCTACAAGCTGAGCCGTACTTACAAGCTCCTCTCACAAAATACTGCGTATAATTAAGAGAGGAAGTCGATAGGTAAACATCTTTCCAAGAAAGTAAACAACTCGACCGAGCTTATCTATCTTTCAAATCAACCAAATAAAGTTACAAAATAGAATAAGTAAAATGCTATTGCCGAATGCATCATCACACTTATGTATAGTGCACTCGTACCACCACAAGAATTAATCAGATTTGGGATAAATCCAAGAAATGCACCTTACAAGTTGGTCGAAGATGAGTAGGATGATTGAAACGGCAATTTCTTCCATAGCTACACAGACCAAAATTTAGAAAATGTGGACAATCTTGTTCACCGGGACGAACTGGATACGCTCTCGATTGCGTCGCTTTGTGTCTCATCCTCCGAGTTCCCTCATCGAATTTCCTCTTGGAACCACTATCCAGAGTTGTTGCCTGGCCCTGAGGATCAAAATTAAAAGAAAATGTTAAATCAAACAAAGGATTACACTGTGTACAAAGTTAGGTTTTTTACCCTATTCTTGTGTTGCAAGGATCTCGACTCTGTTTCGTGGCTTCTCCTCTGCATCTCAAAATCTCTCAGAGACTGTCTCTGTTCTTGCAGATTACCTTTGTGATCACGAATCTGATCTGTTTCGTCGATTCTTAAACCAGAGTCTTCATTCTCCTGAGACAATCGTATCGACTCTGGTTTGATCATAATAACAATTAGAGTAAAAAAACAGAGTAAGTAAGTTCTTGTTCTGCTTCTTTACCCTCTTCTCTGCTCTGAGTCTTGACTCTGTTTCGTGTCTCCAATCAGATCTCCTCCCTNAACCCGAACCTGAACCTGAATTTCGTCCCTGAGAGTCAAAAGGAAACGAAACCCCTAAAATCAAATCTCATCCTACGCAAGAACCGACCATCTTTCTAGACTCTGTTACAAAGCGTCTTTGACTCTTCAATGGCAAATAAGTTCAAATTTTGTTTCTCACCGGTGGATGATTAAAACGGCAACCACTTCCATAGCGACACACACCATTTCTCAGATAATCCCGACAATCTTCTTCACTATTCTTGTGTTGCAAGAATCTTGACTCTGTTTCATGGCTTCTCCTCTGCATTTCAGCATCTCCCAGTCTCTGTTCTTGTTGCAGATCACGAATCTCACCCGTTTCGTTAGTCTCCTGAGAAATTCGTATAGAATTTGGTTTCATCATAATAATTCACAGTTAAGAAACAGAGTAAGTTCGTTCTTGTTCAGATTCTTTACCCTCTTCTCTGCCCAGGATCTTGAATCTGTTTCGCGTCTCCAATCAGACCTCCTCCTTGATTCACTTGGACCCGAACCCGAATTTCGTCCCTGAGAATTAGAATTAAAGGAAACCACTAAAAATTAAAACATCATCTTACGCAAGAACATACCCATCTTTCTCGACTCTGTTTCAGACTTCTCTCATCAAATGTTTATGGTAGGAAACCAAATGAGTACGAATTCGTATGTTTGGAATAGCAGAGTAAGAAGTTTTTTTTTATTGTTTACCTTGGTTTCGTCCATGGATCTCGACTCTGTTCTCGTATCAGTTTCTTGAGCCTCTTTGACTGTTTTCTCAGACTTCTTTCATCAATGCCAACAA